GCAAAGTCCTCAATTCCTCCATGCCTCAGTTTCCTCCTGTAATAAATGTCTGTCAAGCTGGTTAACTCCATCCTTTGCACCAAATTTAACAAGACTCAGTACTGTTGGGCACTTTTCATCTACCATGAAGAAACTCATTTTACGGCTTTTTGCATATGTTTGATAATTTCTAAATGTTCAAAAGGAATATTAAGTGTTGGTTCCTTTCATTAAAAAGAAAAATACAGTTAAAATGTCTGTTATTATTGTGGTGAGAGTTTTTCTCCCTTCACACCTGAAAATTTCACCTCCTTAACTCTCTCGGGTGGTTTAATCCATGGTGACACTTCTAAGTCAATCATTGGGCATGCAGCTAAGGCTGACTTCTGGACAGTGGAAGCTTCCTGATAGTGGAAGATGCTTTGGGTCATCCTCACTTTGCTTCTGTCAAGAGTCCCAGAAAAGTAGGCACGGAGTTTATGGATAAGATTCATTAATATCAAAAACAGAACTCACAAAAATAGTAGTCAATAAGAACTAATGAGGCATCAACCTGTTAATAGTAGAAATAATAATAAAGGTAATGGTTATAGCTCAAATTATGGAAACTTACTATGAGAAACCAATGACTGAGACTTTATACGCATTATCTCAGCAATACTTTATAATAGAGACCATCGTCCCCACTTCACAGTTGAGGAGATTGAGTCACAGAAAGGCTAAATAACCTGCCAAAGGGCCTACAGTAGGAAGTAGCAGTGTAGGTTTGAAACACTCCATGGGATTTGATGACAATGCTATGCTGCGCTGTCTCCACTGTAGGGTTCCTAATGCCTGTCATCTTGGCCATGGGCTTTAGTTCAAGTGAGTCTCCCCTCCTACCCTCTATGGCAAGTAAAGCCACCAAAGAGACCTGATGATGGGGAGGTCTCCACACACTTCTCGGTGATACACAAGTGTTATTTCTATTAGCAGAAATCCTCCTGAAACCATTCTGTTGTCTAAAACCAACCTGCAAGTTATTAATTTAAAAATATAGAAAACATGCTTCCAAATCATTTGAATTAACACTAGTATTAATGAAGGCAAATCTGCATAACCCTGGAAAGACAGGATGCTCTCTCCTCAAGTCTAAGTTCTATGTAATCATTAATCTACAAACCAAATGGAGACATTACTTTTTCTCCAAACAGCAAACCAAGCTAAATTCCAAGATGCTGACCAGAGGGAAAATCATGCAGAAAAACTGTTCCCTGTTTCTTTCCCCCTGTAAGTACTGGCTGTTCTCAGGAGCTCTAAAACTCATTATTCCTCTGCAGGTAAACAGCAGACTCTAGTAGTAAGAAAGCTGACAATCCCTGTTTCTAATGAGCACTCTGAATACTTCTAGAAAGTGGCAGCAACATATCCAGATGTCTGCAAAGCTTGGTCGTGACAAGCAAAGAAAATACCGTGACTCAAGGGGAAGCGGATGGGCAGGTGTAGGAAGCTTTGAGCGTGTTTATGGCAAAGAGCAGGCAGAGGAAAATATAAGGAGAGGAGGAATTGATAGAAAATGTCTGGGGTAAGTGAAAACCTTGCTCCCGTGCTTAAGAGAAAGAATTTACATGGGGTGGGTGAGGGGGGAACAGCATTTATTTATTAGGGCCAAGAATGAAGATGAGTGGAAATGTGATTGTTTAGGTAAAGAGGAAAATGTTTGTGTCAGATGACCTCAATTTTCTCAGAAACGTAGTAGAGGGTTGAGGTTTGGATGAAGAAGGCTTTAGGAGGATGGAAATGTTTNGTAAGTGAAAACCTTGCTCCCGTGCTTAAGAGAAAGAATTTACATGGGGTGGGTGAGGGGGGAACAGCATTTATTTATTAGGGCCAAGAATGAAGATGAGTGGAAATGTGATTGTTTAGGTAAAGAGGAAAATGTTTGTGTCAGATGACCTCAATTTTCTCAGAAACGTAGTAGAGGGTTGAGGTTTGGATGAAGAAGGCTTTAGGAGGATGGAAATGTTTAAAACCAAAAGTCAATTAGGAACGGCTAAAAGGATTACCAAGCATACGTGACAGCTGCATGAAGCTAAGATGGCATCATTTATAGATGACTGCCTCCAGAGCGAGGACACAGGGTTTACGCCATTGCCACAGAATTGGGTCAGGCCCTCAAACCTTCTGAACTGCCTCTCAAGCTGAAACCTAGCCTTCTGGGACTTATCCAGCCTTCTGTGATTTATCTACCAATCCAAGGTCCTCAGCACAACACGCAGGCCTTCCCCAGCTGATCCCCACTTAACCTCCAGCATCATCTTTTGCCTTCAGCGATATTGAACTAATTACAATTCCCTGAGTCCCAGGCCCTTTCAATGCTTCTGAGCAAAGTACGTAATAACTTCGTATAGCATACATTATACGAAGTTATACGACACCTTGCTCAGCCAGTGAGTGGGAACCGGTCTGTATGTGGGATCCGAACCGTCGGGCGGGAGCGCCCGCCGTGCTTCCTAAGCGGCGCAAGTGCGCCACCGGGCTGGCCCCAACCCTTTCAATGCTTCTGAGCCTCCGATCACAGAATCCCCCTGACATATCTTAAAATATAAGGAGAGGAGGAATTGATAGAAAATGTCTGGGGTAAGTGAAAACCTTGCTCCCGTGCTTAAGAGAAAGAATTTACATGGGGTGGGTGAGGGGGAAACAGCATTTATTTATTAGGGACAAGAATGAAGATGAGTGGAAATGTGATTGTTTAGGTAAAGAGGAAAATGTTTGTGTCAGATGACCTCAATTTTCTCAGAAACGTAGTAAGAGGGTTGAGGTTTGGATGAAGAAGGCTTTAGGAGGATGGAAATGTTTAAAACCAAAAGTCAATTAGGAACGGCTAAAAGGATTACCAAGCATACGTGACAGCTGCATGAAGCTAAGATGGCATCATTTATAGATGACTGCCTCCAGAGCGAGGACACAGGGTTTACGCCATTGCCACAGAATTGGGTCAGGCCCTCAAACCTTCTGACCTGCCTCTCAAGCTGAAACCTAGCCTTCTGGGACTTATCCAGCCTTCTGTGATTTATCTACCAATCCAAGGTCCTCAGCACAACACGCAGGCCTTCCCCAGCTGATCCCCACTTAACCTCCAGCATCATCTTTTGCCTTCAGCGATATTGAACTAATTACAATTCCCTGAGTCCCAGGCCCTTTCAATGCTTCTGAGCCTCCAATCACAGAATCCCCCTGACATATCTTTTCCCTTTAATATGTGGCAAGCAAACACTCATTTTTTAAAAGGTTGCCTCCTCCTAGAAGCCTTCCACAATCACCATAGGTAAAACTGATCACTCAGTCTCTCCTTTTGCCAACCTGTCTATGTCCTGTATATGCTCCTCACATCACATGGCACTTCATATTTCATCAATTCTCAGATGGGCCTTTTTTTTACATTTTTTAAATCCCTGAAATTAAGATCAGTTTACAATCAACGGTGTGACATAGTTTAATTGACAGAATTTTCTAAAATTTCTTTTTGGTTCAAAAAAAAAAAGGTGCATCTTACATTGGGGAGCACTGGTGAAATGCAGCTTCAGTTTTTAATTTTCTAAGGTGAATGTAGAGGTGCTTCTCACCCGGAGGCAATCTTGGCTCCCCTCCCCATCCCATCCCCACTTGGCAGTGTCTGGAGAAATTTTTGGTTGTATCAACTTGGGGCAAAGGAGTATGCTGCTGGCATCTAGTGGGCAGAAACTAGGGATACTGCTAAACATCCTATAATACTCGGAACAACCCCTGCCAACAAAGAATTTGCCAGCCCAAAATATCAATAGTGCAGAGGCTGAGAAATCCTGGTGTAAAGAAACAGTATTTATTTATTTAAGCATATTTATATATGCTTTATTATGTTTAATGTTAAATAGATCTTTTACAGTATATAGTGCAAATAATACACAAATGCACATAGCAACTGTGCCAAACCTTGGCCTGTGCATCAAGAATAGCAACTCTTGGGTCAGCCCGTGACTCACTCCCGAGAGTGCGTCGCTGGTAGCACCGGGGCCGCGGGTTCGGATCCTATATAGGGATGACGGTGCGCTCACTGGCTGAGCGTGGTGCAGACCACGTTGCCTTCCGGTCAGAAAAAAAAAAAAAAGAATAGCAACTCTTGAGAAATTTCTAAGGCTTCCTCCTCACCTCCAGATTTCCTTCTTCTCAGCTTCCCAGAGGAATAAAAGCAGCAATGCTCCTGGTCAACATTTGAAAGCCAGAAAGCGCTAAAGAGACTTGGGACTTGAAACCAATTAGGTTTGTTCATAGCAAGGCCACAACTGCAGCCTGGAGCCCCAGGTTTCCGCCATCCACTCAGCCTGGGAGGCAGCTGCTCTGTTGCCTGGCCACACTGGCGAACACAGTTTGGTACCTTAAAGGAAACTGTGCCCCTATAAATATGAGCTCGGTGACTTAGCAGGAGTTTAGTGTTAGTATTCACGCTTCAACACCCGGGAGCCACCCCGCTCTCACCCTACTTTATGAGAGCTTAGGTTGACTCTGTAAGGCCTGTGAGCTCTGTGGGGAATTGGATTTATGCAAAAATAATTTTGATTCATGAGTGTGAAGGTACTTTAAGTAAACTTCGATGCTTTCGTCACACAAAAGGCAGGGGGGACTTAATAGTGTACTTAAGGCTCTGGAGGAAAGGTTGTTCATTCGGAAGGGGCGTGGGGGAGCTGTCCTCCACCCCAAGAAGCTGCACGTGTGGAAAGGGGCTCCAGCTGGAGCAGGAAGCTGATTTATGTGAGAAAGGAAGGCGTTCCAGAGCAAGCTTGTAGCAAGGCCTCCCCTGCATCTCCGTTCCGCAGTCAGGGGGGCTCCAGGCGGGTCTCCAGCTCCCTGTCCCGCCTGCCGAGTCCCCAGAGTGTCGCCTCCCCCTCCCCTCTCCCCGGGGCTGAATCACAGCGGGCCCCACCCCGCTTCCATTCCGGCCCGCGGCCCCGCCCTGCGGAAGGACCCCCCGCGCGCCGGAGGGGTAGCGGGGCGCGACTCACCTTCAGGTGGATGGGGAAGGGCCGCTCCTGCTGGAGGGGCCCCAGCAGCGTCTGCTCCCCGCTCACCAGCTCCGAGGTCGAGTCCACCACGCGGGCCAGCGCGCTGCGCATCGCCATCCGGGCCAGGGTGCAGGGCCCTCGGTCCCGGGGAAAGGGTCGCAGCTCCGCGCCCCCCTCGGCGCCCCGCACCACTTCCACCTCGCAGGAGCTCGCCCGCGCCCCGGTCCCGCTACTCCGGCCCTCTCCGCCCCGCTCCTCGCGCCCGGGCCCCGGCCCAGCCCGCATCGGGGCCGAGCGACGGGCTGGGGCGGCGGACACGTGGTCCAGGTCGCGCAGGCTCCCGGGGGCTCTCGGACCGTCTCCCCAGCCCCACTCCTGCTGCAGCAGCTGCAGGGTCTGCAGAGCCACCATTTGGTGGCTGATGGAGGCCACTAAGGGCGCGGGGCTGGCCATGGCCTCCGCCGGCGGCGCGGCGCGCTCGGCGTGCAGGTGGAGCGGGAGCGAGGGAGGCGGGGGCGTATGGGGTCACCAGGGTCACATTTCCTAACCCGCGGCTCCTCGGCCTCCGCGTCTCTCAGCGTGTGTGGCCGGCTCCGCCCCCAGCCCGCAGTCGGTGACCCGCGCTGGCCCCGGCATTCGTTTCAAGTGGAATCGGCTTGTTCTGACCCAAGGCTACCTGAAGCGCTGCTCGGTGTGACCTGAACATCGCCAGATGCTGAGCGCTGCTTCTGCCTCCTCTCCAGGGATTTGATGGGAAACGCGCAGCTTCGCGCAGATGCATCTGTCGGCAGGGACAGCCCGCCCTCACCTCCTGCGAGGGATGCCTGCCAAGGACCACTTACGCCTGCGGGAGGGGGTGTAAGAGGCCCACCCGGGAGCGCAGGTGCGAAGAGCCCTAGCGAAAACGCCCCGAAGGAGGACTGGCTGATTCCCCTCCCTCCCCTTCCCGGCCTACGGGGTTTGTCAGAAACTTTTTGGAGTCACCTTCAAGGCCTCGCGTCCCCCAAACAAAAGAAGGTGCACTTGTGTATGTCGCAGTTCAGCTCCTCTGTTTTGCACGGAGAGCCTGACTGCAGAGGGAGCGCCAGCGCGCGGCGAGTGCGGTCTGCACCCAAAGCCCAGATGAGCCAGGCACTGGAGCCTAAACGGCCTTGTGTGAAAATCCCTAAACGAACGTAGGCAGCAAGGTTGAAGCTAAATCCTTTTACGATCCACGAACCCAGGGACAGCTATACAAATACTTGCTGTTTTTAATTAAACCTAACATGGCCACTTCCTTGACTTCGGAAAAACTTGTCGATTTTATGCGTCCACAGGTCGGAAACCACTGGTGTGTGATCGCACTTAAGAAAAAACAAAAACATTTGAGGGTAACAGTACGGAGGACTGTCCCACAGCAGCATCGTTTCTGCTTGCTTCCTGCGAGGAAAACCATTTAGATAAATCCAGGAAAGCAGCGGCAAGGGTGCACCCATGAGATTTGAGTCCTGCCAGACCCGGACGATGGGATTTTATTCTTCCTTTAGAAACAGGAGTCCACCCTTGGTGCTGTGAAGTAATATGTGGAGGGGCCTTTGAGTGGAAAAACCACTCCAGTGAGTCTGTTAGCACAGAAAGATGATTATAAGAGATATGCAAAGGGCTGTGAGGTCCTTAAAGGTTTCTATAACTCTGGGATAGTGTGACCCATATCATCCTCCCAACTCTCCCACAAAGGTTCCTTCTCATTCTCAGTGTTTTCATCGCCCATGAAAACAAATCTGAATGCCAAGGTAAAGAAAATCTTTCCTAAACAAAAACCAATATGTTCACACTAATTATAACTAAGTAAAAATACCTGTCTGTGCATTGACAGAGAGGAAATTACTTTGGAAGGAAGTAGTTTAATGTTGATTAGATTCTCTTGCCATGAAGTTGCTTAAGTTCATAATAAAAAATTGAAAGAGAAATTCTTTTTTTTTTTTTTTTTTAATCTTCAAATGTTGAAGTGCATTAGGTTCAGCAGAGACTAACAGGGAATAGCATAACTAACCCCTAATTTTCACGGAGCATGTCAGATCTCCAGGGCTGCTCCTCTTTCCAGATACACAGGAAATCCAGTTTCATGGGCTAACCCTTCCACTATCAAATGGCTGACTGCAAAACTTTCTTGACAGATGGAATTCCAGCCAACAGCAGAATTGAAATCACTAGACACAGCCTGACCTGAGGCCCCACTGTTCTTCACACCAGGCTGACTCAGAGCCATGAGACCAAGTGAACTTCAGGGCATGTGAAAGAAGAGGACCAGAGGACTATGAAGCCTGAGAGAAGGTAGATGCCGCCTAAATAGCAGCCTGGTTTTTCTAGTTCCCTTAGGGAATCACTGGATCATCCAACAACTCAATGCTTTGTCTGTCCTGGCCATGGGTCACACTGTCCTTTGCTGTGACTTCAAAATGGCTTATGTTCCAAAGCTGGAGATATGAGATGGTAACTGAGGAAAAGTTTTCATAGACTTTGGAGGTGAGTCAATAGGGTAGCAGATCTACCTTTGGTCTAAAACACCTTCAGAGTTGTGTACGCTGGGCTCCCATGCCAACTAGACTGTAATTTGAAGCCACTGTAATAAAAGGCCATTCAAAAGAAGAAAATACTGGATATCTGATATTTTTTCTTTTTAGCATCTATTTCATTATTTTATGAAAACCATAACCTGATATCCCAGTGGATATACCTCCTCTTCCACACTCAGTCCACAATGAGGTCAGAGGGGGTGAACCCATCCCATTGCAAATCTAGGCTGAGGTCAATCACACATCACATTCCCACAGTGATTGGTCAGGAATGAGGAATGAGACAATATCATTCAGGATGCTTTCAGCTGAATGTACTGCAAAAGAGAAAACAGTGGATCCAAAGCGTGAGGCCCAGAAAGTGTAGGCCAGGAGATGAGACAACAAAAAATGATCAGATTCCCTTTCAATAATAAATCTCAGTATAAAATAGTTCCATCAGTAAGAGTAATTCATTGTCTCACATCACAAAAAGTCCAAAGTCAGGCTGGCTCCAAGGCTGGCTAAGGCAGCAGCTCAGAGGTGTCATCCTAGCCTTTGGTTCCTTCCATCTTTTTGCTATGCCAGCCCTAGCACATTGACTTGGTCCTTGGTCCTCGGGCTGATTCCCTAGGGTGACTAGATAGCTGCCGTAGCTGCTGGCATCACTTCTAGACAATATTATCTAGAAGAGGCTATCTCTTTTTGTGTGTTCCTTCTCAAGAGCAAGGAGACATTTCCCAAAAGCCCTCCGCTGACTTCCTCTCACATCTGCTTGGCCAGAATTGCATCACATGTTCTTGCCTAACCAGTCACAGTCAAGAGGGAAAGGACCACCATGAGAGTCTTGGATGAACCAGAATTCAACCCAAGAGCCAGGGCTGGGTCTAGCCTCCCCTGAAGCATATGGCTGCAGAAAGATGGAGAATACTCAATGTAAATCAAGGTTTTGTTACCAAGCAACAGCAGTGGTAACAGAGTAAAGTGAAGCCTTTGCAGGGGCATCTGGGTAAAGCACATGTTGGATTTCCGGGGCTGTTCCCCATTCCAGATACATAGGAAATCCAGTATCATGAAGTAACCCTTCTACTATCAAATGGCTCACTGCAACAGCCCCTGTGCACATGAAGCTGGAAAGATAGGAGTTCTGGAGCCTCTGGAGCCATCTTGTGAGCTTGAAGGGGAGAGCCTGCCTATGAATGAGCCAACACTAAAGAGAAAAAAGTTTCTTTCTATAGAGAGAAACCAGTGACCTTATTGCACTATTTGAGCCCCACATTTAGCTACACAAGAAGACAGCCCATCTTTGAGCTTTTCAGTTATACAAGCCAATAAAGTCTCTCTTCGCTTGAGCCACTTTGGGTTGGGTTTACTCCCTTTGCAACAGAAACAGTCACAACTGAAGCAAACAGCACGACACGTGTTACAGGGAAGATAGCATGTTAAAAAGTGACCCTGTGTGACTCAATGCCCCCCGGCAAAGCACTGCTAAAAGGTCCCTCCAACCAGTGACTTCCAGCAATGCTTTTGCCATTCACCTAACCTTTTTACTATTTCAGCAATTGAGGGGGAAAGCTCTTTGAGCAACTCTGGTCATTCCTGTCAACTGGTGGGAGTATTTCAAAATAAGCACTGGAAACATCCCTTTGTGATGTGGGATGGGAAACAGAAGGGGGTAGAAAACTCAGTGAAGTGAGAAGCAATTTCCCACCTGTCCATAGACAAGGTAGAGTGTTGTTAGATAAACAGTGTGCTGCCGATGCTCCTATTAATCCAAAGATTCCTTTCCACATGAACAAAAGATGCGAGTTCCTGTGTGGAATCGTGGAGAAGCGGGGCACGGTGAGAACAGAAGGGAGCTGGCAGAAGGCGCAGCTATGTGGAGCCTTCCTCAAAGGTCTTGGCAGAGCCCAGATACATTTGAGCCGTGCTTATATTCTTTGGCACTTTTCTCCAAAAAGGATCCAAGAGAATTCCAGAAATGGATCTGTTAACCTTCAACGCACCCTAGCAAAGTTCATAGGTGGGGGCAAAACAAAATGTGTCCAGAGAGACCAAAGAGTTATTATTCTTGAATGAAAATTATGATTGAGGAGAAACAGATACTGAAGAGATATAGCAAGATATGAAAATGTACTGTAAAAGAGAAAACAATAGAACTAGGAAAAGGTGTTGGCCCAAGGAAGAAAGAGCAAAAAAGATTAAATTCCCTTTTTTAAACATACAACTGTAATGTTTGAATTTGCCAAGTCATAAAAATGCATATGCACTTCTAACTTTGGCCTAAACATTTGATTTTCAGGGAAGAAAAAAAAAAAAAGATGTAATCCTGCCATGAAAACTCTAAATTGCCAAAAACAATTGTTTACATAGGACAATGTGTTTTCAGGACTTCGTATATGCACTGACTTCCCAGATCCCATTAAGCTGGTGAAGCTCAGAGAAACTGAGTGAAGCTAATGAAGAAAAACAGGGAAGAGTGGGTAAAAAGAGGGAAAAGAGAAGTTAAATATGTCGAATTCCGACTGCCTGCCCAGACATAATCTGATGTACACCTGCCCCTTGCAATTTGCCTCCTCAACCCAAAATGCAGTTCTTCCTGCACTTATAAATCATTTTACTTGGTTTTGTCTTAATAACTAGTTAATTTCCGACAGGAATTCTTGATATTGGCAGGAAAAAAAATTAAAAGTGGGTTTTAAAAGTCAGTACAATTGTTTCTAATTATCATAGCTTTGATAGATGACATAGTTATTAAGACTGACAGACTGCCATGGATTTTCATGCTGCCTATACATAATTTCAACAGGACAGCCTCGCTGGATTCTCCCCTCCAATTCTGATTATAAAATGTAACCCCTGAGGAATATCCTTTCCTTTGGAGGGAAAACTTAAAAAGCTGCTTGATCACTTGAACTATTTTGATTGTTTGTATAGATGTAGCTTATAGTATTGAAGGGGGCTGGGGGAAGGAGAAATAGTGATAAAAATGGGGGAAGGGAGAAAGGCAGGAAGTCTTTTAATGATTTTCCCAACTAGATTCCAAGATGCTTAACCTTAATGGAAAAATAATGTGACTGCCCTTCTCACTTTCCATGATCAGCCTGTATTTTCAAGTCCCGGTAGGCACCTTTTTAATGTGATAGAAAGAAATGCTTGACTTGAGTTGATATATTTTTTAAAAATTTTAATCTTCCTAATCC